AGTATCACTTCTTGTTCTTCCGTTACATAACAATAATGTAGTTTTGGTATTAGTAAACTACAGTGCCACAATTGGTTATACTTTTCCAATGTAAAAACTAATATCAAAATTTGTAGGATTATATTTCGACCACATTCTTGCCCACTAGTAGCCAGCAATCTAACTCTTGCTTCATATCGTCTTCTATGTTAAAAAAACATCTAGCAGTATTATAAAGCATTAGTTCTCTTATTTTGCCACAGCTTAGTTGGCCATCAAGATTCTACTAATGTGGGGACTTGCCTAACCTTCCTCAAATTACGATTCATTTTAGGACACTTGAATCTGAAAAAAGGCTTCTCACAAATATTCAAGGGCCTGTGGTCATTGAAGGGTAAACTAACTGCTTTTATCGCTGAGTTGGAAGCTCTTCGTCCCTCTTCTGGTGCGATGAGTGTTTCCACATCTAATAACTGGACTAATTATTTAATTCTTCGTTATACCAAATGTCTTCCAGTCCTCCAGTATAACCTTCGCTTTGTTACCGTTCGTTAAGATCCTTGCTTTGTTATTGACCGTTTCAGACCCAGATAAGACACATCTTTATTGGTCTTAATACCTGAGAGAATTTCTCCCTTCATGCCTGCTATTGGTTAAGTCAATACTTACACAGCTGGGGAGCTATCCAAAGTTCATGGTATTCTTAGAACTTCCCTAGTAGTATTTCCGAATTCTCAAAGGCTTTGTTATCAATTTCAATAGCTTGTAAACATGCTACCTCTCTTATCCGTTTCACATGTTGTAACAACCGAGAAAGATGTATCGGGCAAGATAAGTGGAATTAGACAGAAACTACCAATAAAGATGCGGTTCACTCGAGGTTCTGAATGGCCAACATAAAGCACGGTTAATGACGGACGGTAGTCAAATGTAAGCATCACTGATGAAGCACTGAAAGGCCCCTGGTAGAAGAGACAAGGAAGGATTTTACGTATATAAGTAGACAAATTCCTCGTAGCAGAAAGGGCGACGAATAAACTCCAAAGTCGGAAATACAATCAGTTGCCAAAACCAACTCGTTACCGCTGTGTTCTTAAATCTCTGAGAGTATTTCTGTCCTTGGAATACATGAACCTTGAAGCGAACCCAAACCCGTAACAAGAAGGCTAGCTGTATCGTCCATATTCTGGATCTTCTTGTAGCATAATAAATTGACCATAATATTAATACTTGTCTTGCAGCCACTATTACCCCGGGGAAATGAACCCCCTTAACAACGCCTAAATGAGATATATACTCACTTAGTGTAAATGTAACCTCTGGTTACTGAGTCACTAGATTCGAGGGGTAGATGGCGCGGTTGGAGTGCGTTGCGCCTAGCAAAACCTGGTGTAGCCCGGCATATCGTCGGTTCAAATCCGGCCTTCAATTGCATGGTGGGCAGAGAACAAACCAGCATCCTGCCTATGAAATGGCTGGTCATCCAAGAACTTTCTAGAACTCCCTATACACGTTCTGGGCCGTTGGATACAGGAGGTTACTGGCCATGGGGACTTTACTGAGTACCATCAACGTTTTGGCCACCCCTCGGAGGCCATTAAGACATGTGTGTGCGGTCAGGTAGTCCGCCGCGGACACCTCGGTATGTGCCCTATCGCTAGCCGGGCAATCCAAATACAGCCCGGCTCGATATGCGCGCTTTTTACAAAGCCTTTAATTTATACCTAGACGGGTCAAAGAGTTTCGTCAATATGGGGAGATCCTCGACCCGCTGACCCTCGAACCCATTCTCAACCATCCAGTTCCTCCTCGTTTTTCCTCACCTGCCGCCAGAGCAGAGGTAGATGAGGAGGTAGATCCACTTGAGATTGTTCTCTCACAGGCTTTCACCAATGGGTAGTTTCTCCTTTTCTCTTTATACTTGTAAAGAATATACCTTTTTCCTTTAAACCACGCGCAGGTTCTGCCATTAGGCTTTCCCTGGCGCAGGACTCTATAAACTGTAAGTAGCTATAGATAGTATAGCTATGTCCGCCGGCGTCGTGGGCACGGCCCAGTACCCCAGTAGGGTAGAACGTGGCCGAAAAAAGAATCATCGTCATCATCATCTGTGTGATAAGTTCAGTTTCCCAGATCCATAGGCCTTGAGCTGAAGCCGAACCTGTTTTAGTAGGCAAGCTGGATTATCACACGTTAATCCACTGTTACGTGATTATTGATCCGTGAAATGAAATTCAATACTTGTGAATACTTTAACCATACATTGCATGCCTATGTTTGGGTAATAAGATAAACGGGTAGAAAATAGTTTTCGGATACTTTATAGATCTTAGCACCTCATTGTACCTTCAAACTTATGATGGATATTAGGTTACACTGAATGTACTATATCACGGAGAATTATCAATTAAGTAGGGAAAGTTCTCTAGTGTAAAAAGGGTATACCTAAGTTTCAATATTTAATTAGTAAACTATAAAGCATATAGCAGGCATAAAACTATAGAGACACCAGCCTTTTTTTAACTGGCAAGGACGGGCAAGATTGTCTTATATCGATCAACCCTATGTCTATATTGATAACAGTTTTAGCAAGATTACGCAACCATAAGGTAACATAATCACAAAGGATATCACTTTTTAATAGACCTTCAAGGATAAGGTAGTATTTATCAATTAAAAGGTTCTTTTACCATACAGCTGATTACAGCAATGATCTTTCAAAGTCAAAATAGCACATCTAACTCCATTATTGGAGGTTAGGTAGGGCAATATAAAGTAACGGGAAGCCATCATCTGCAATAGCCCTTGATATCGAACATTTAACAGCTCAGAGATTAGATGTACTTTTTGTTAACGTGCTATTAGAATGCTCGTCAAGCTATCTAAGAACAGCGGTTCCTTTATATCCAAAATCACTAGATTTCTCTATGCAAAATTCGAAAACGTCTAGAAACGTATAGTGCTCACCATCGCCAAGTCATTTAATAGAAACAGGTGGCGATCTCGGGCTGAACGTCTCTCCGCCGGCCATCCGATCTCCATCAGACTTGCCCCAAGCCCATGGAATGGATGGTCTCTGTTTACATCAGCTTGCGCACGGCGTCAGGCTAGTTCGGGACCATGGGAGCCAAAACAGTCCGGCTTACGAGCTTGGCTTGGTCTCCAACTAGTCTCGCAGCCTAAGCAACCTAGAGCGCCACCATTCGATTTGTACGGCGACTAGAGTAGCTAGTAATAATCAATGATAAACCTGATATCTTCATCTTAAACCTGATATCTTCATCTTTAGAGACTAAGTGCTTTTAAAACCCCACCCTATATGATGAACATGGATGTCTAAGTTACTGTTTGCCTGATAGTAGGCTAATGAACGGCCTTCAAGCTTTTAAAGCTATTTCATAACGCTTCAACTATTGATAATTGTCGCTTTATAAACTCCATTAGCGTTAACATTTATGGTAGTCTACGGCCACTAAACTTACTAATATAACAAATCCACCTCCCTTTCCTTAAAAGGGTCTGAGTCATCATCAAGGCTTATGGATCTGAGACAGGGCTGTCACACGAACTTCAGCGCACTGTAGTCACCAGTCATATTGCTGACTGAGAAATTCTTCCGCTACATGGCTATCCAAGCATCAACCTCATATATCCAGCATCCTTTGTCCCCGAGCGTCACCCAGCTCGACAACCTACCGGCACTGCCTTTGTCATTAGCGATTGCGTCGCTGGTAGACGACGCATAGGATAACAACACCATGTTTCTGAGTTCTGTCGGCGTGACGATCCAACTAGCCTTCCTGAGATGATGTGGGTTGGTTCAAGGCTTACTGGTTATATAAGGCTACAAGCGTTGATAAAAGCCCGATTATAGCCATTGCTAACTTACGTGAACGGTATATATGACTTAACTGACTGATTTCTTTTAATTCAATATTAATAGCGCAGAGCTGCAATAGAACTATAAAATGATGGCGTTTTAAGAAGTATAGTACAAGTGAATGGCGAATATAGTACTAAAAACTTGAAGAATTGATAAGCGTGACGATTTCACAATATCTTGAGTTGGGTCCGAAGGTAGTGTGGCCAGGTGTAATGATGATGATTCTATTTTCCGGCTACGTTCTACCCAAGTGGGGTACTAGGCCATGCCCACGACGGCGGGCATAGTTTCTCTAGCTACACCTAGTTATAACTTTGAGTATCCTGCACAAGGGAAAGCCAACTGGCAGAAACTTGCGTGTAGTTCAAAGCCAGGTTGTAGAATCTGAGGGACTGGGGTCCGCACACAGTAGAGCATGTGATCGACTGTGGTCACCAATCTGTTGGTTAACAGCAGTTTCTATTGCTGACTTAGAACTCCTCCTAACGAGCGGCTAGCTAGGTCCCATATATATATATATGGGTGTCTCCTCCAATAGCACCGTGCCATCACTGATATCATCGGTGATAATGGAGTATCATGCCGTGATAATTTGACCTTGGCGGTGACATTGTCTTGATTGGGCTGTCCTTTCGACATCTCCCGTCCTACTTTTCTTGGCAGACCTTCCCTCATTCTGTTGGCCGTAACAGGAAGGATATGTTATCTAAATTGTCACAGCTGTTAATGGACTCGGCGGCTGCCCCACAGACAGCGTAGGAGGCGTCCAATAATAGGATCTCTAGTGGGGTCAAGAGGCGGAGCTATCAAATGGAGAGGCGCAACAACAAAAAGGTAATGGCAGAGGGACAGGCTGACTGACAGCTTCGAATATAAATATCTATATAGAATCACCCATCCCCAGAGCCATGACGAGGACTCTCCAGTCAGAAATGGAATCAGTCGTCAACTAACGACTGGTGTCCGCAGAGATTTCCATACTCTGCTGTGTGAGGACCTCAGTTTCTCAGGTTCTACCACCTGGCCACTACCTTCGAGCCAATTTCAGGAGCTGTGAAATCGGAATACGTTGCTGACTCCGTTTTAGTTCTGAGGTCGGTTCAATTCCAGAAGGTAGTGCGACAGAACCGCTATCACAATGTCTACCTTTAAGGAGGATGTCAAGGACGAACTATTCAAGATGGATCAACCTGAAACTCTGGACGAGTACATCAAAATGGCTGTTCGAATCGGCAACCGACTATATGGCGGCGTCAGCAGAAACGTCAAGGGAAGTCTGGCACAGCCAGATCAGCGATGGCGCACAAGGCCTCCAATAAGGAGTCGAAGGCAATCTTAAAGTCGACGGCTACTGGAACCCATCGCCGGGCCTAATCGGTATCGACGCGGCCTAGAGGGCCAAGCCGAGCCGA